CCTGTGCCGGGTTCCGGTGAGAAGCCGGCTGCGTTTGCAGCCCTGCCTGGGGGAGGGGGGGGTCCGCATGCAATGCTCACGGCGTGGGGGTGACCGGCCAGCCGCCCTGGTGGCTCAGCCCTGGCGTCCCTCGCTCTCCCTGGCTGTTTTCCAGGTAACTCCGATCCCTGAGCCTGAAATCAGCTGATTTCTTTTGCTGGGGATGCTCATTAAATCCCCTCCTCCTTCCCTCTCTCCCCAGGAGGAAATCTGCCAGAAGAACTCGGTGCGTCTCTTGTCCCCGTGCTCCCTGCCGTGGTGCCAGGGGGCTTGAGCCCCTCTCTCCCCCTGAGCTGCCTCCCCAGCCTTGGAGGGGAGACACTGCAGACAGGGAGCGAGACCTCTCCCCAAACCTGAGTTGGAGGGGGGGTGTCACTTGCTCAGAGCAAGCACCAGGAACAGCAGCATGGAAAGGGGTCCCTGGTTTTGAAAAGAACCAGGAGTGTTCACTCTGGAGCGTAATGATGGCAGTCAGAGATAAAGCTGGTTTGTCTTTCCCTGCTAATGACTTATGGAAGGCGGTCATGTTAGCATGGCCTGTATGGGCTGGGCAGTGTGGGGGCAGGCGTGGGGAGCAGGGGCTGGTCTGTGACATGAGTAGAGGGGTTCTCGGCTCGGCTGGCACAGCCTTCACCCCTTCTCCCCTTTCCCTCAGGACCTCTGCAGCAGCTACACCTTCATCCCCTATGTGGTGACCCCTCAGAACAAGGTCGTCTGCTGCGACGCCGGGGCCATGAAGTGCCTGACGGTGCTTTTCCAACCCAGTTTCGAGGCAGAGACCTTCTTCACCCCGCTGGCAGCCCGGCTCGTCCAGCTGCTGGAGGGGATCCCCACCGACTCCTGGTACTGCTGCCCACCCCGCTGGCTGCAGGCAAACCCCTGGGGGCTGGCAGGGCTTGGCAAAGAATTTCCACCACCCCAAAAGCCTCACGTTTCTGCCTCCCCTTCTCCAGTGGGTATTTTCGGGAGATGATCCGTCGGGATATCCGGAGGGCACGGGAGATGTACCGAGGGGAGCAGCTGAGCCGGGAGCTGGCCCGCATCCAGCAGCGCTTGGACAGCGTGGAGCTGCTCAGCTTGGACATCGTGGTGAACCTCCTCCTCTCCTACCGCGATGTGCAGGTGAGGGGATTTAAGCACACTGGGGAGGTGCCGGGGACCGCGTTGGCATCCCGGGGGGATGCTCCACAGCCTGCCCTTGCTTGGCGGAGCTTTCAGCCCTCGGGTCCGGCGAGAGCGTTGCCCCACAGAACCAAGGATGGGCAGCACAGGGGCCACCAGCTCAGCCCCACCACTGTC